CTATATATATATATATATACTTGGCTGTCTCTGCTTTTCTGTGCAGTTTGCTGACGGCGCAATGAATCTTAGGAAATTGTCGGACACCTATGAATTGGGACAGCCTACAGTGACATAAGCAGCCAACAAAGGTGCCCCACGTGGGCTGCAGGCCCTGAATTAAGACACAGTTGTAGACTGTGGTATAAATCAATAAATCAATAAATGGAAAATAAAAGAAAAGCACGACAAAGGCAGTGTTTACCTGCATGACGAACTCCCGACGTCGGGGCATTCCTCTCTCAGAAAGCAGCTGATACTCGGGCTCCTTCTCCTTCTTGGCCTGCTGGATCTGGGCCAGACGGCTGATGGGATTCATGCCTTGACCATAGTCCGGCGCCGTCTAGAAGGAAAGGAGGACAAACATGCTTAGTTCCATTSCTTATCCTCTTATAGTTAATGCAGAGTCAACAGTCACACTGTTTTATAGCTCCTTTTGTGCGTTTTTTGCAGTCARACGTCTCCTGCAAACATTATATTTAACCCTTCATCTATCTAAACAATTCTCTCTATCAGGAATACAATAAAATACAGTGTTGTGGCATTGTTTTTTGCTTTAATTCAATTTAATATATTTCACTTTATTAAAAATAAAACAGAAATATGCTGAGGTCTTTTCAAATCCTTCAAAAACATTATTCTCTTTAAAATCAGCTTCAGCATACTTGCTGTCTTCTTATGCTACTTTCAGCTTTCAGCTACTGTCCCACTTTTTAAACTTTTAATCACAGTTTTGCCAATTATAGTTTTTAGCTACAGTGTTGCTCATTTTAGCTGCTGTTTTTGGTAATTATAGCTAAACTAGAGCATACTAAGCTTTGCAGATTTTGGTGATAATACACAAATAGATAGAAATGCTTTCAAACTTATTAACATTACTGATCAGAAAAACAAGTAGTTGGATTAGCAAGGAAATAAATCTATATTTTTTTGATGTAAGAGTTTTTCCACTTTTCTGCATTTCTTGTTTATCTGAACAATGAAAAATCCAAATTGCTTAGAGAGCATCTAAAAAAAATACTAGATTACATAACAGCTTCAGTCCACATCATTATTAATCAGAGCATGCTTTTCCTCTAAGATGTTTTTCCTGCCTGACTGCAACGGCACCTTGAGGATAGTCTTGGTGCGTTTCTTGTAGTGGGTCTTGGGCTTTTCTATAGTGGGCATGAAGGGCAGCTTCTTCAGGTCCTGCAGGATTGACAGAGCAGCACGCTTCTTGGACAGCTTCTTACTGTTTCCTTCGCCCTCGGCAGAAAACTCTCCAACAGTGACGCGGGTCAGGAAGCTTTTCATGTGCGGGGGGCCACTCTCCTTCAATACCTGGGAAATTTATTCAATGAAAAGGATTAGAAAACACACACACACACATGCGCGCACACACACACACACACACACACATGCGCGCGCGCGCACACACACACACACACACACACACAAAGATTAACATGTTCCTAAATGACAGTCTCTGGTGATGAAGGCTCGGTTTCCTTCCTCCAGCCTCTGGTCACCTGGGAGACCTAAAACAAACACCGGCTGGCGTTAGGTCATGCTTCTGCAATCACATCTACTTCCTATGAAGTTTGAGAACAATGTGTGTGCAGCAGGTGGGGTTCTCTCCAACCTTACGTAGGAAAGTGTACTGCAGAAGAGTTAGGTTTCACACACTTGCGACTCCAGATTTATATGTCCAGTTATCTGACGAGCCTCTTTTCCAGTGCCTGTGTTTAAACGGTGCCTCGGGCCTCGATGGTTTACAGTGATGCTGTTTTCCTCCACTCACTGCAGTTGCTGCACGTGTTCCATTAGAATCTCTCAACCCTCCCCAGTCTCATGCTCCCCAGCCTTTTTTTTTAACTCAAGCTTGAGCTGCGGTGCAGACAGCACAAATTGTAGCAATCAGCCGCAATCTAGAAACAGTTAATTTAAACCCAATGGCCAAGAAAACTGATTTAACTGATAAGCAGAACCTCAAAAATTCCTGAGATACTTCACACACCAACATAGACAAATACCAGACCCTTAAAGAAACAGAAGATAATGTCCATATTTCTCCTCCTCACTTTCTACACAACTATGCCACACAAAGTATTTAATTCTTCAGTTTATTTAGGAAATGATGTATTAGGYCCAATCAGTGCAAGCAAATAATTGTTTTTGGTTCTGCTAAGATTCAAAACCAAATGCTTAGAAAACAACAGAGTCTAAAATACTGTATTAACTTACGCTGTATATTGTGCAGTTAAAGTTGTCAATTTAATTTAAAAAACACAGTAAATAAAAGGCCTTTAATGCAACATTTATAAACTAAGGTTTTATTCACACCTGACACATTTGGTTCGCTTTAAACGGACCAGAGTTTTTTTCCTGGTGTGAATACATCCTATGATAATCTAATGTGATAGCAATTTTGATCAAACCTTGCAAATAACTTTATACACATTCTCAAGCAAGATATGTTAGCTCTCTGAGGGAGGAGTTGTAAATGATTCTGATCTACTACCACATCAAAGTTTAGCTTCATATCTATCCACAGGTTTCTGGAAACGCGCTGCCATGACAGACGCTAGCCCCGCCCACAGCTCTCCAGACTGTTCGGTTTTTCCAGTGCGCAAGAAATTCATTCATTCAGATAGTTATGATAACAACAAATTTAGTTTGTTTTCGCTTTAACTGGCAGCTTGAGCAGTTCAATCACGAGTTCGGGGTTCAACTTGTGTATTTGTTGGCTGCCACAACAATTGAAGAAAACTGAGAAACGCTTTATAAACATTTTGTTTGGAACAAGTAGTAGTAAAGGCATAGCGCCCTATAAACTGCATTTTATGCCAATGAAGGAGGATCGTAAACTAACATGGCTGCAGCTTTAAATCTGAAAAACCCACCAAAGAGAGTTTGCTTGCTTTTTTCATTTTATCGACAAAAATCCCACAGATATTCACTCCAATCCAGAGCTCTATCTAGGCTAAGGCTGGTTACTGAAGGCGTCTCATCTGAACACTGTGAGTCAGACAGCTTCCAGCAATATCAACTAAAACAAGGATTCTGTACCTGGTGATTTAAATTATAAATGTGGTTTGTCCATGTTTCACTATTTAATCGTGCAGTTCTTTGCTTTTACTAAATGAAAGCTTACGGTGAATGGCGTTAGCATCAGCACTAGCTACTTTTAGCCTGGTGGTTGGTCTAATCTTAAATTTAAAGACATATTTTGCCTATGGTTAGTAGCTGCATGCTGGCAAAACTATATAAATGTCTTAATTTAACTGTCTCAGTTCTGAGTAAGCTCGGAATAATAAATAATCCTCTTGTTTACATCATGGCAGGATTAAAAGACGAGGAGCTTAGTGCCCAGGGGCTATAAAAGTGTCCGGTTTGTTTAAATAAAAAATATGCTTAAAAAGTTATTCGAGGCAGTTTATTTATTTTTGTTTATCATTTATTTAAAATGACTGCAGCTGTATGAAAATTTCCAGTTCATCTCTTAAAGTTGCTAGCGAACTAGCATCCAGTGAATTTTATGTTTAGAATAAGGGGGAGAAACAGTCTAATCACAATACTTCTATAAAATTATTACAATTCTGAGGGGCTTATGAACATTTTACTTCCAGAACGGTTGACATTTATGATTTTGCACGTGTGGGTGTCTTCGGGGAAAGACGAGGTAGTTGATGTCAGTAGTGGCTATTAGCTAAAATCGGGACATAGCTTAATCAGTCTGTGAGCAATGACGGCTGAGCCACTGATAAAGAATTGTCCTTGCCACTTTTTAAAACATCCTTACACCTCCGACATGTGACCACCTACACCAAATTTCAATGAAAAATGCTTTGATAAACAGCGATGGTGTCTCCTCGTAATTGTAAACAACAGTCAAGCGGAAATATGGAACCCGCTTCCGCTATGAATTATGGGTAGTGGCGCAAAATCAGGAATACTGTGGATAAAAGTCTTTTTTGTGTTYGCTAAAGTTGGTCAGCTGTGGTGACCATCTTGAGTTTGGTCAACATTAAAAGGCATCAACTTGTAGGATGTACATCAATCATTACTTTATGGGAGTTTGGGAGTAATTATAGGAGATTCCTAACATGGCTAAAGACAATTTCTCATTTACTGAGAATGTTAACTTCTAGTCCTTCGGTATTTCTGCACAGTGAGCTCAGGTTTGTGGTATGTAAAGGATGTGTGCTGCAGGGAAGCCTGGGAGAAGTTGCTTAACCCCCTCTGGCCCCTGGGATCTCCTCTGGTCTTGCTCATCACCACAAAAAGGAAATGTAACATGTCAGCTTTTTGTACAACGTAACAAAGTGAGTGGGATTGGACACATGCCCTTTCTGACTCTCTTGTCTTTTTTATTGTGTCAGTAGGTGATGACAACCCTGACCACTGATCATTTCTCAAAATGAGTTATGTCATATGGTGGAATTAGATATGAGTTTGGTACAAATTGTAGATAGTTTTTGTTAAAGCAACAACAGAAACAAGTCTTAAACGCTGTGTCGGAGGTTTTATTCAGCTGTTCAAAGATCTGGGATAGCCTCAATATCTACTTGCTTGGGCTTTCTCTCCCTGTCCATCACAAAGAACATGTGTAAGTGCTCAGCTTGAGGGTGAGCAAGACAGAAACCAACACAAACATGTCTGCATCGCTGATTGGACTWGAACAAAAGCTCATTCTTCCACACAAAAACCCAAACTCATTTCAAGATAAACACTTTCTTCCAGCTTTGGTAAAATTCAGCATCCTAGCGAGTGACTGGCCGAGACACATACCATGTGACTGCGCTACTCTCGGTTTGATTTTGTTACATGTCATTGTTTAGTTGTCAGGCAACAAGTAGAGGCTCCAGGAAGTTAAGGGTCCTGGCCAAGAATACTTTGGCACACAAATCCCCCCATAAACAGTAAATTGTTGAGTTAACACAATGGTGATTTTATTGATTAAACAAAAAAAAAGTTTATTAAATAACTTACAAGGTTTATAGTTTGGAGGTGCCAGTAATCAGATTTTGTATCTTTTCAACAAGCCTGCCTAGATGTTATTGCTTTAATTAGTTGTGTCCAGCTAAGTAGAATTTTGTTTCATTTACATATTATACAATACAGCTGAGGGGCCGAACATCCAGCAATGAAAGTTATTATGTAAATAAACCAAGTACTACAAAGATCTGTTACATTTGAATTAGTTTATTTTGCTGCATTTAATCATGAATACATGTTTAATTATCACTACTTTTAAGAACCCTTTAAAAGTAGTGATAATTAAACATTATCAAAAACAAAAAGAACACATTATGCATCCTATTTGACACAAATAATATTTTGACATCTGTGACTTGCCAAATTTTTAAACTAATTTTCTTTTCACTTTCATCATTTTATCTCCRACTGCTTGTAGTTTTAACTGTCTTGAGTGTTCATAGAAATGGTTTTTACCAGCTTCTAGCCAAGATTCTGACGTGTCTGTAGATACCAGAGTAATTCAAGTAGAAAACCGGGGGTTTGGGCTTAAGAGATGAATGAACCAATTGGCRGGCCGAACTTTGGTCACTCGCGGACCGGATGTGGCCCGCGGGCCACCACCAGTTGAATAGCCCTGCCATACAGACATAAAGGCCTTCATCTCTTCAACTAGGAACTCTTGCCAAAAACTAAAACTGATTCAAAATCAACTTTTGTTTCTTTTAAAAAGAACTAAGTTTATAGGGATATTTTTGAGAACAAATATATGCTTTTTGCACCAGAATTAAAAAACAAAACAAAATTTTAAATTACCAAGGGATTTTTCTACTATTGTATTTTATGGCTTCCTTTTGTAGGTTTCTTTTAGTAATAGTTTTACACAATTATTATGCACAACATGTCTGAAAATAAAAATGTGAAAAATACACTTTATATGTTGGCACTAATAAATTATGCAACCTGTCATTAACCTTAAATGTTCATGCTTTGTTYGTCTGTTTGTTTGTTTTGCTATATTGGTATAAGATTGCAAATATCCTTGGTTTATATTTTGTTTGGTGTTATCCACCTCTGGCAATGAAGTTTAATATCAACATCAACAAAAGTTTGATAGAAAGCGTACACCTGTTCTACTTGTCCACTGCCTTTGGCTCAGGATGGCAGCGGACAAGYTGGCTTCAGTCTTCTGGCAGACGACGCGAAATCTGCACCTTGCTGATGGGGTTTCACTTTCCCATTCACCAACAAGCACACCCGTGTACACATACATGCAAACAAACACACCTGTCTACCACTTGATGACAGGGAGATCAGGTTGTACACAGGAAACCTTCTGTAATTCAATGTAGATTTTTTTTCCAGTCCTTTTTTTCTTTTTATAAATCTTTTCTTATTTAAACATGGGAGGCCTTCTCTTCGGCTTCTCATTGAAACATTAATACCCTGAGCGTCGGAGGAGTTAAGAACTCAGGTAGTCTAGAAATGGAGACTATGCGAGCAGGGAGGGACAATGGTGAAGACTAGCAGAGGGAAGAAAGGCCCTTTTGTGATGAGAGGTGGATGGACATGTCCTAAGGGAAAACTGCTCCTTGTAAGATGGGTGGTTCTTGGCTGGGACCCTCTTCTCTTATGTCCTCCTCAGTAAGGCAGCCCCCCCAATCCAACACACGAGCTGTGATTTATAGATTGGTTCCTCTTTGATGCTGACATCTGTTTGATATTGCCTGACAGGGGGATTAAATGAGCCAACTGGCTCTTGGGGTGGTGGCGACCCTCATCGTAGCAGAGTGATGGGAAAGCAGACGGTCAGCTCATGGATAATTGCGAGCCTCGKTGAAGGGAGGGATGTAATGATGTAAAAACATGGCTAATGTTTAAGGCTTTCATGTGGAAGAGAATGGTTRAGGTTTGAGTAGGAAACATGGATCCTACTCATAATGAGAGTTTGACTTGGGGTTAGTGGGTGTACAATTTCTCATCAGCAAAGATGACATGATAAAGGGAATGTGACAAAGAAGGAAAAAAGAAGRTCTGAAGTGTTAATACAGTATGTAATGAACAAAGAGGTCTAAAAGAAACCTAAACAGGTGTGAGGCATAAAGACACTGATGTTTAAAATGGAGTCTTTCCTTTCTACTGTCGCCTGCGTGTTCAGATTTGACGCAGTCTGCTGKCTTKYT